TGGACACCAACAAAATAGGGGACGTAAACTCACTGTCGCTTGGCTCAGCTGTCCATGCTGTAGCAAGTAGTCTACACCTTCTTCCTCATGGGCGGCTTCTGATGAAGACTCATTCTATAAGGAGACTGCTTTATCAGGCTGTCACCGGGTCCACCAGTTCAATATCATACTCCACTCCTTTGCCACGGCTTCAAACGCGTCTCCAAATATAGGAGGAAATTCCTTAAGCAGATTGCAAAGTCATCCACTTCTGACTGCAAAGGTGGAGAACTTCATTAGGATAATTCAGGATATCACTATTTGATGCTCTTTCAAGAAGTACATTGTGATATGTATAATAATTTTGGTTGTACAGCAATCCTGTGTTTTTCGTGAGATACGTTCCTGAAACCATGGCAAAAAGCCAAAACGCGAATACTCTTTTAGGAATCACTGTACCTGTGGCCACCAAACAGCTCAAGGTAGGTCATGCACTTAACCACGCAATGCTTTCCACTCACCACTCCGGCCCAGTGGTCACACTGATAACTGATGCACTGTACCGGCATTTATTAACATTGTATTTGAAACTAATCATATTGTAGTATAATAATGGAAAAACGTAAATACAGTTATATACCAAAAAATTATTTACAAGTAAATAATTTTTTTATTCGCTGAGGTCGGTAACACCCGTATTGCCAGCCACCTCCTGCTGTCCCGGCGTCTGCCCGCCCTCACGCAATCACGCCAGCCAGTCTGTCCTCTTCCACCCACATTTCTTCACTTGAAGACTTGTATTCTGACAGACACAAATGAATTGTCAGTCTTCACCACATCTCGAACCATAGCTCATACCACCTCTGAGCTTGTCCAATAAAACTGTTTTTCTGTTAAGGTCATCACTATTCTTGATCTCTTGGTCACTTTAGAGTCTTTGCTAGTAATATTTGCCTTTGATGAGGCTGGCTACGTCCGGGCCATGTGGAATGCAGGTGGGAGGACAAACAGAAGAGGTAATCACAGTAGCGTTCACAGTACGGTAGGCACCTGTGGACTGAGGCTTCTCGGGCAGCGGGTGTCTGAAGGCGGGGAAAGGGGTGTCTGTTTGCCGCACGTAAAGGGAAATATCGAAAATTTATTAAGATATATTTTAGTAAAAACACCGCGAATGGTCAAAACAGAGATAAAAAAACACCAGCGAAGAACAAAGGGATTAATGCATGAGATTTTTTTAATAGGTGATTGGTAATATTCTATTTTATTAACTAACCTTTTTAAAGCCTGTTGGCCTTTTTGGGGGAGGTGTTATGATAAACTACTTCATCAGTTTATTTAGGAAGATTCTGGTCACAAGATGGCGCTGGCCATCTGTCAGTCGGGGGTATGCAACTCGCCGGTCTTGAGTACAATAGTATGTGGAGCCTGTGATTGGTCCTGGATGGGGTAGAAAAATCTGGTGGGCTCAGACTTCCAGAGTCAGACTCCAGAGTCAATTACAGAGTAGAGGCTGTGAAGTCGACAGCCAGTCTCCTGTCTCCTAAACCATAAGTATCGGGTGATAGTGTTCTCTTACTGCTCCTGACTTATTATATTTTATATGGTGTTGTTTAGGATTTAGTGATTATATATTATAGGGTGATGGTTAGGATTTAATGTTCATTTATTATTAGTTGTGATTTTCTGATTTCTTTTGTGTTGTATATATTTTGTATAAATTTCCGTCATCAGCTTTGGTTATACTTTTGTAAATAAATAGTAAGTTTGAACTTTTAAGGTAATTTTCCTTATTAAACAGGTTAAGAATTTCTTATGGGAGGGCGGGTTAAAGCTTCGCTTTGTATAGTAGCAATATATATATATATATATATATAGACATATATATATATATATATATATATATATATATATATATATATATATATATATATATATGCTGCTTCTTTCTATATATATATACAGTCAACCCTCACTTTACGCGGTCCCACATTCTGCGTTTCCACGTTAATGCGGTGCCTTGCCAGAACCTAATTTGCTCACATTACGCGGTGCGTGAACCCCATTACGCGGAGAGTGTACGGCGCGACGCTATTTTTAGATTCGCCCCACCCGCCTGCCTGCCTGTGCTCCTCGCCTCTCCCTCCTCCTCCCTCCGCTTGGGCAAGCCGCGCGGTAAGGTTGCGCAGTGTGTCTCTGTTGCATTATCACTGACGTCATATGACGTATCGGACTGTGATTGGCCATGCATCCCTACCCCCCTCTGCTGCTAGCTGTAATTGGCTTAAAGTATTATGACGTGTCCACCCGGGGGAGGGAGGGAGGGAGGAAAGATGATCCTTGACCTAGCCGCGCCAGTTTCATCCCTCCACGCCAGACCGTGTAAACGTGCATCCATTGTTCTCTAAAATGGCTTCCGCCGGACCACCACCCCCAGAGAGAAACCTTTCCTTACCTGGACCCAGCGGCACTAAGCCAAAGAAGACACGACGTTCCTTAAGCTACGAGGTGAAGTATACCATCATCCAAGAATTGGAGAAAGGAACAAGGCAGGTTGATTTGGCGCGCCAGCATGGTGTGAATGAATCTACGATTCGAACAATAAAGAAGGATACAGCCAAGATAAAGGAGCACATGAAGATCACAAAGTCTACAGGTGCTTCTATGATCAAGTATTTTCACAACCAGGTGCTTCTCAAGACAGAAAAATTACTTGTGAGGTACTTGGTGCGTCAAGCGCGACGGAACATGGCGGTCGACACGCGCTCTGTTAAGGACTACGCACGTGAACTGTACATCACAGTGGCACGAAAGATGGGAACTACAGAGCCCAAACCCTTTAATGCTTCCTCTGGGTGGTTACAGAGGTTTAAGATCCGGAACAAGATCACCAATATAAACATTGGTGGTGAAGAAGCAAGTGCTGACCGTGCTGCGGCTAGGGAATTTCCTCCGTTTTTACGTGAGATTATGGAGGAAGGACAGTACAGTGACGACCAGGTGTTTAACATGGACGAATCTGGTCTTTTCTGGAAAAAGCTACCTTCCAAGTCCTTCGTTGTAAAGAATGCCAGCAAGATTCGGGGCCGGAAGATGCAGAAGGAACGCATCACCGTCCTGTTTACCACCAATGCCTCCGGTACCAGTAAGCTCAAGTTATCGGTGATCCACACAGCACGCAAGTCGCACGCCTACAAAACCATGGACATGACCAAGCTAAATGTCCACTGGCTGACCGCACGTAAGGCGTGGATGTTCTCTACACTGTCCCTCTCCTGGTTTGATGACTGTTTTGTTCCCGATGTAAAGAAATTCTGTGAGCGACAGAATGTGCCATTCAAGATTTTGTTGCTGCTGGACAACGCACCAAGACACTCGCCCCTACTGTTAGATCGTCACCCCAACGTAAAAGTGGTATTCCTTCCTCCCAACACTACGTCTATATTACAGCCCATGGACCAAGAGTTAATCTGTAATGTAAAAGCTGCATTCTCTACGAAAAAATTCAAACTCCTGAACGACTACACCAACACCAGGGAAGAGATGCGCAACCTGAGTGACACCACCACCGATAGCAAGAGCGAAGAAGATGAGGATCAACAGTTGGCACAGCAAAAAATACTGTTCAAACAATTCTGGAGAGTATTTAACATCAAAAAGCTGTGGACTTCTTGGTGGAGACATGGGATCAGCTGTCTATTGCTACAATTCGTCACGCATGGAGACATGTGTTGCATGGAATACCAGGTGAGAGGAGGAGTCAATCTGTGACTGGTGAGGTTCAGACTGTTGCAGTAGCAGTGGACCTTGCCAGAGAAGCTGCGCAGACTGTTACAGTTCCAGGATTCTCCGAGACCACCAACGACGACATCCTGGAGGTGATAATGGAACCTGATGTGACTACCGAGGAGATGGTAGATGATGATGATGACGACGTCAGTGAAGAGGCAGGTGGTGCGTCATCCCAAGAAGAACAACACTTATCCCATAGTAATGTTAGGGATGCCATCGAGTGTATCGAGAAAGCCAAGCTCCTCCTTTCCGACGACCCTGACGCAAACAGGTATGAAATCTTCACTACCCAGCTGTTGCAGACTATGGAGCCCTACATCAAGGTGTATCACGACAACATCAACACCAGCCGTCAGCAAAGCATAACAGATTTCTTCGCCCGCAACCCACCACAGCCAGCCCAAGCCAGTGATAGTGACAGTGAAGATGACTTTGAGGGATTTGTCAGGGAAGCCCTGACAACTGTAAGTGACAGTGATGGTGATTCACCTGAGGGCCAGTAATCTGCCCTCTGCCTCGGAACCAGCCTCCATCCCCGTATGCCGACCCATCTCTTCTACTAACGTAAGTGTTCCACATAACTTTTAGTTTTCCTAACCTAACCTTTATTTTTCCTAACCTAACCTCTTCTATATTACTTGTTTTTTCATACCATCATAAAGTTAAGATAAAATTTTTACTACAACAAAGTTGTGTGTCATCAAAAAGTGGAGTTTGAGGGTCGGCCCGGACTCTATTTCAATTAATCCCATATGTTATGTTATTCACTTTACACGTTCCTCACTTTCCGCGGGACCCTGCGGGTTACATTAACCGCGTAAAGTGACTATATATATATATATATATATATATATATATATATATATATATATATATATATATATATATATATATATATATATATATATATATATATATATATATATATATATATATATATATATATATATATATATATATATATATATAATTTTTTTTATTATTCTTGGGTACATATTTTGAGGACATCATCACAACATGTCAGAGGTGTGACTGGATGGAAGAATAAATGTATTATGGTGGACGATGACAGTAGAGTTGTACGGCCCCACAGATGGCAGTCTTACACTGTGTCTTGTTTATAATTATCATATTACTTTTTTTTAAGTGTTTACTGTATCTCCCTCCAATATGGCCGCCTTAGGAATTTTATTTTTTATTTTTTATTTTTTTTTAAATTTATCGTTCCGCAGATGTCAATTCATGGGCGTGGCATGTAGCTCATGGGAAGAGTACCAGCTGGGGGCGTGTTGGGGATGTGACCATGCCCACTGCGCTGTAATGGGTTTTCATGCCCACCCACACCACCAGGAGGCGCGGGGGGTTAATGTAAACAATACAGACCCAGACAACACAGATTACCCTGATAACCAAGGCGTCCATATCGACTCTCCCGGCGTCCCGTTGACCTTCCAAAACATCAGTAGGGTGCAGAATGGGAGTAAGGATGGGCACCCGTCAGTTGAGGTCAAAAGTCCGTCTATCAAGGTGTTTTTGGGTACTAACTCCGAGGAGCCATTTTGTGGTGAGTGACATACTTCCTGTTTGTTCTACATACTAATAATTTAACTGTATTTACATATCTATTTTATAAATCTACCTATTTAATTATAAGGATGTATTTTTGTATATTAAGATATGTTAAACAGTCTATCTGTTTACAGAATTTTCAATTACATATCTTAAATAAGTTTTTGCTTTGTGAACATCAAACCTGTCTATCAAATTTAAAGTCACTCAACCAGTTTCTTGTGATTGTTCTGTTTATAGAACTGTGATATACAGTACATACACAAAGCAAAAATAATCACTCCTGCACCCTGTTAGGTCTGTATCATTAAGTTAAATGAAACAAAGTGAATCAATCTTCTTTTTTATCCTAAATATCTTTCTGTAAGATGTTTCATTTGGTCCTTCAATGATTATACACACACTGCTACTACTACTACCACCACCTTGCTGTCACTCGGAATTGAGTATGACGATCATCAAGCTATGATGCAATTATATTAGTTATTAAGGATATCACTTTCGTTGGAGAACTTTAAGGTGACTCAAGAGGCCGATACAGGATCACCAAGGCCGTCCACAGAGTTTGCACGTGTGAAGGGCTACATCTAGTGCGGGAGGGGCGACAGCAGCATCTTTCCGGTGCAGGCGCTCGTCTGCCTCGGTATGCAGTCAGGCTAACTCGAAAGTATTGACACTTTCTTGTGTGGTGCTTCTTCAAGCATTACTGTGTGGCCTGATCATCTCCCAGGTGAGGGGGTCGATTTGGCTTTTTTTAAGGTTTGTCTTAAGATTATCCTTATACCATTTCCGTTTTCCACCTGCGTTACATTTATCGTTCGATACATGACTGTAAAGTAGCTGCTTTGGGAGTCTACTGTCGTCCATGCAGGTAACATGGCCAGTTCAATGTAGTTTTTCATGGATAATGGAAGCCTCCATTCTCCTACTGTTGATGTCAATGAGAATCCATGCATTTGTTCTCCTGTCTTCCGAGCGAACTCGGAGGATGGAACGTAGACTACGTTGGTAAAAGTTTTCAAGTGCCTTGAGGTGCCTCCTGTATGTCACCCATGTCTCGCTACCATACAGCAGGGTAGGGACGACCACTGTTCGATATACGTGCAACTTTGTAGATACTTTCGGCTCCCTACAGCTAAAGAAACGGGTATGGAGTCTGCCAAAAGCTTGAGATGCACATATGATCCGATGTTGAATCTCTTCAACGATGTCTGTGGTGGTGGACAAGTTGGAGACAAGGTACTGGAAGTGGGTAACATTAGAGACAGTAGTAACCGTTAAGCTGCATGGATGGTGAAGGTGTGATTGAGCCAGGTGCAGGCTTAAAGAGAATCTGAGTCTTGCATGCATTCACCTCAAGGTCGAAGTGTGCAAACGCAGCTGCATAGGTGTTCAGGTTCCCCTGTAGGTCCCTTTCAGTGTGAGTGACGAGTATGAGGTCATCTGCATACTGAAGATCAGTGATGGAAGCGGATAACACCTTTGTTGAAAAGTCCCTTCATCCGGTACTGGATGTCCACCCCGATGGCTAAATTGGCCCTGGCACGAGTAGGTAAGACAGCCAAGAAAATTGAAAAAAGTTGGTTCCAGTACTCCTCCTTGTTTGGCCTCATTGGGATGGGGAAGAACTCAGACTGGGTGCCATTGTGCAGGACTTTGCCGTTCATTCCATCGTGGAGTTGCTTCACAACGACAATGAATTTTGGTGGGCAACGAAAGCCACTGATGGTCCGCCACAGGGCTTCCCTGTTGACCGAGTAGAAGGCATTAGTCAGGTCGGTGAAGGCCATGTACAAGTCACGACTCTGTTTTCTGCACTTTCCCTGTCTTTGCCAGACAGCAAAGATCATGTCAGTAGTGTCACGTGATAATCTAAAGCCACATTGTGATTTGGGGAGGAAGTTTTCCGCCTCATATAGAAATTTATTTCAGAGGACTCTGACGATAATTTTACCAGGTATGGATAGCAGCGAGATCCTGCAATAGTTGCCACAATCTAACTGGTCTCTCTTGTTCTTCTAAATATTGACGATGGAGGTGTCTTTAAGAGCTTGGGGGATATCCTCCTTTTCCCATATATTCCTCAGGAGAGAGTGGAGACGGCTGGTAAGCAGAGGTCCTCCTGCGTTTTACACCTCGGCTGGGATTTCATCATACCATGAGGCCTTGTTATTTTTCATTTTCTTGATGGCAGTAGCTACCTCATCCAGGGATGGAGGATAGCTGAGGTGGGTCAGCTTTGAGTGCTGAGGAACGTGCTGGGTAGTCAGGATATCCACATCGGTGTTTCGGTTGAGCAGCGAATGGTAGTGCTCTTTCCAGCACTGACAGATGCTTTTTTCATCTTTAATTAAGGAGTTACCATCGGATGAACGGAAGGGGGGGGGGGACACCATGAGCAGCTGGGCCGTTTATTGTTTTAGCGCAATTGAAAAATTCACACATCTTGTGTTGATCCGCAAATTTTTGTATTTCACACATTTTATTTTTCCACCATTCGTTCATTAGTTTGCAAAGTTTGATTTGGACCACCGCTTTCTCCTCGTGGAAGGTATCAGCTTTGGTCCATGACTTAGGGTTGTTCTGCCAGTCAGTGAGAGCAGCACATTTACTGTTGACGAGTTCTTCGATTTCCGTTTTTTTTTTTCATCAAACCAATCCTGGTGTTCTCTTTTGATTGAGCCGAGTGTCTTGTTGCAGGTTTTTGTGATGACAGCTTTGGTGGAACCTCCATTCAGCACAGGGATTTTGATTATTTGTTGTTGGGTTGCTTATCAGCCCATCATTGAGCTGCTCTCTGAAAGCATGTGCTACTGCTGGATCCTCCAGTCACTTGGTGTTAAAGCCTTTCTGGAGGCTTGTTGCTTTCTCGGTTTTGGGGCAACGTGAAAGGAGAGTTTGACTGACGAGCCAATGATCTGTATCACAGTGGTCTGAGCCCCGAATGACTCAGGTGATGAGGACATCTCGGCTATATATTTCTCTGACAATGATGTAGTCAATAAAATGCGAATATTTGTATCGTTGGAGTTGCCACGAACCCTTGAATGTGTCGGCCTGCCGAAACAAGGTGTTTTTGAAAGTGAAGTTGTGTTCAGAGTACTTGCTGAGGAGCAGTTGGCCGTTGGGATTACACTTGCCTACTCCGTTTCTTCCTATGGTTCTCTGTTATGTCAGCATCTCTGCCAACTCTGGCATTCAAGTCACCTAGGAGCACAACTCTTTCAAGGTCAGTGTAAAAGGCCTTCTTTATTTCATCCTCTGCATCCAGTATTGGGGCGTATGCATTGATGAAGAAGGCATGACGTGAGTGATTCAGTGGGTCTTGGAGCGTCATGAGGCGCTCGTTGATCTCAACAGGCATTTCAGTTAGACTATGTCGAATGGATGGGCGGATGGCAAAGCCAACTCCATAAATGCGGTTTCTCTCCACAGCAGGCTTACCCTTCCAGAAGAAGGTATAGCTGGATCTCCTTTCTGTGAGTCAACCCTCGTCTGTGAGCCGGGACTCACTAATGGCTGCTATGTCGATGTTTTACCTACATAGTAGACAGCTCTTTTCCACAAGAGCGGTTCTTCTTTCAAGACACTCATTTGTGCCAGTATCCAGTAGCATCCTAACATTCCATGTAGTGACCATAGAGTTTATTTAGTTTATTTTTGCTTTGATCTGTGATTGTGATTACGTTTTTGACCATATAAGGATGACCTTACTGGGTGTGGTTGCCCAGTCAGGTTGGTTCTTTAGGCAGGTTATGTTTAGGGCACCTTTTCTAACCCCCTCCCCATGTAGGGTGAGCAGAGTGGCTCCTGGTAAAGGCTGCTCAGTCGCACAGACAGGACCGGATTGCACTGCTGCCTAGATCCCAGTGCATAAACGACCATCTTTTCTATGCCGCCCTTGTGCAGAGTTTTGACTAGATTCCCAGTAGTCATCTTTGCCTGTTCCTGTCGCCACCCGTCTGGCGCCATAGAACTCTTAGGGTCATATTGGTTTGATGATGATAAGTATGATCAGCTGGATGATGACTGTGCAGGAGTTGATTTATGTGGTGAGGCAGAAACGCAGGCTGCAACCACACATCTTGGCTCTCCCCTTTCCTGATCCAGTGGTGCAAGTAGTTGCATGTCTGGGGAGAGAGTTGAAATGGACTGCTGATAGCCAAGTTTGTTGGGTTTCGCCTTTGTACCCTGTTCATCATGCATTGTCTTCATCTGCCCATGTAGTCAATGGGTTCCCATGTTGGTCACCTCTTCTGCCTATACCATCATTGGGGTCTTGTTGGAGCTCTGTAGGCATGGCTGCTTGATGCGGGTCTCCACGGCAGGTATTTCGTTTGGGGTTTACTCTCGTAGCCTTATACCTACCAAGGTTAATCCGCAAGGCAGCGGGGCAGTGATTGGTAGGCGCCAGGACGTGTCTACATGCCAGTGATCCTATGCTCCATCCCTCTGGGGCCCACTGCTGCTCCGAGAATCCTTGCTGGTCTAGCCTGGGTCCCCGAGGCACCCAGTTACCGTGTGTTGCCACAAGGAGGCACAGCAGGAGTCTTGATGGTGAAGAGGCTGTGTACTGGCAGGGGAAGACTTACACATGGTTGTTTCCCTGTTCACCGCGAGGGCTAGCCAGCGGTGATAGCTGAAAGCGTGAGGAAAACAAGCAGTGCTTGCACCTTAACACTAACATTGAAACGGTTGGTTAATTCCCAATTAACCAGGTTGGTTCACATATATTATATTGGGCTTTAGTAACGAAACCCAATTGAAGTTTCTTGTTCTATAAGAAAAGTATTGTTTATATAATTCCTGAGTGTAGGTCAACCGTAAGTTCCACTATTTATGAGTGTGATGAGAAAGGACGGCGTTTATGTAATATAAACGTGAATCAACGTCCGTTCGATATTAGTTGGTGTGAGTGACTAAGAGCATCGCACTGGTGCGGCTGCGCGCTTACATAGATGCTGACATATGGGCTTCTCCCTCTTGGGAAAGCTACTGTTCGCGTGTTCAATTCATGCCCTCACATATAGTGGAAAATTACAGGGGATGAATCTGAATATAAATCATATGTATATAACCCATTTATATAATACTTCTGTTGATGAGACAGAGGCCATTACAACATAATGCTGCCATACTAGATGCATTTCACCACCCTGTGCACACACTGACACTTCACCTTATTCTCTCAGCTGAGCAGTACAAGATCAGCATGGTGACCTCCCTGACTGAGGCATCTGTCAAGAGCGGTGGTGACCTCGCTCGCTTCACCGTCGGACTACGAGGTCAACACGGTCAGCACACAGTACCACCACCTGAAAGGTCAGTCTGGTACAGCAGGTCATATTACACCCCCGCCAGTTTTTACCCGGGTATATCCTGACCCTGGTCATTTTAAACCCTGGGTATGACCTGATATAGATCACATACCACCTTAGGGGCTTATCTGGCCGAGGTAGTTTTACACTCCCCAGGCCACGCTCCCTCTCGAGTCCCACCTAAGGAAACTTTCAGGGGTATACATATTTACCCAGAAGTACTTTGGTACACGTGCACCCGGACGTCCACCGGTACACCTGCACCCGGACGTCCACCGGTACACGTGCACCCGGACGTCCACCGGTACACGTGCACCCGGACGTCCACCGGTACACGTGCACCCGGACGTCCACCGGTACACGTGCACCCGGACGTCCACAGGTACACGTGCACCCGGACGTCCACCGGTACACGTGCACCCGGACGTCCACCGGTACACGTGCACCCGGACGTCCACCGGTACACGTGCACCCGGACGTCCACCGGTACACGTGCACCCGGACGTCCACCGGTACACGTGCACCCGGACGTCCACGGTACACGTGCACCGGACGTCCACGGTACGCGCGGACGTCCACCTGTACGTGCACCGGACGTCCACCGTACCGCGTGCACCGGACGTCCACGTTACGTGCACCGGGCGTCCACGATTACGTGCACCCGGGCGTCCAGCGGCATACGTGCACCGGACGTCCACCGGTACCGTGCACCGGACGTCCACATACCGCGTGCACCGGACGTCCACGGTACGTGCGGACGTCCACCGGCCTGCGTGCACCCGGACGTCCACGGTACAGCGTGCGGATCACCGTACCGTGCACCCGGACGTCCACGGTACGACGTGCACCGGACGTCACCGGTACCACCTGCACCGGACGTCCACGGTACACCTGCGGACGTCACGGTACCGCGTGCACCGGACGTCCGCCGGTACCGTACGGACTCGCCGTTACGTGCACCCGGACGTCCACGGGTACGTGCACCGGACGTCCACGTACCGCACGTGCGCAGGCCTCACCCGACCTACGTGCACCGGACGTCCACCGGTACACGTGCACCCGGACGTCCACCGGTACACGCCATCTTTTTTGGCATTCGAGATAACTTTGACCTACCTCACAATTTCCTTTGTTCACATTGTTTTGAGAAAACGCTGTAGACAACAGATCATGAACATATTTTTATAAATTAAATAAGCTATATGGATTGAAATTGCATTTCACACAACACTTCTACTGAACATGTACTGAAACCACTGAAACATTTATTACTGGAATAGATTAAAGGAATGTTGATAAAAATTATCCATATACTATACTGTATAAGTGTGAGGAGCCAGTAATAAACAATACCTGTATATCCATATTAAACACAAATAATCTATTGATTTTTTGTTAAAAAATATAAATTGAATAATATATCAAGGATGGTTATTAGTGTACATTTATGAAGAGTAATATATGAATCATAGTAAAATAAACTGATGGGAATAAATACAAAATATTACAGATTACACTAAACTGTAATTTACACAAAGAACAGAAACAGTTAAGAGGAAGATATACTGTAAAATATAGTGTGTTTTTAATATGAATAGATATACTGTAGAATGTTGTGATAAACTACTCCATATCCTGGGCTGTTACGTCATAGATGTTTATTATGTTATTAACTGCAGTGATAAGTAAAGATGAGTCAGATGATACGAGGGAAGTTGATGTAGTTCGGCAATATCTATTTTTAACATAATTGGCATATTTTTTTATACTTTGATCAAACAATTTCCTAATCATTTAGTGGAAGATTATGAGTTAGTGTGTGTGTGTGTGTGTGTGTGCAACAGGGTGGTGTAATACGTCTGTCATGGCAGCATTATGTTGGTGTTACGGTGCTCATGGGTGGGAGTAAGTTGTTCCACACCGTCACACCATGATATTTTATGGAGGTCTGGGTCTGAGAGGAGCGCACGAGGCGTGGTCTTAGTAGCTCTGGGTGTCTTGAGTTGTATCTCTAATTATTCCGGAACTATAAATAATTAATTATTGTCAAGCAAGTGATTGACACAATTGTAGAAAATAGGGCGCAACAGTAGGTGTCAATATCCTCGAATTTTAATATTTTCAATTTGCAAATTGTTCGTTAGTGTGAAAAATTTTTCCAAGTAGGTCAGGGAATGTGTTTTTGAGGCCCCTCCCCCATAGTGTGAAAGTGTATTAAGTGTTGGTAAACATGATCATAATAGATTTCTATCATTGCTGTTAGACTGAGTGACTGAAGAGTGTGATACAGGACACCGAACTGTTTATTGACTTTCTTGTGAATGGCTTGTATGTGGTTTCTCAGCTTTGTTTCTCAAATAAAACCCCATGAATTTAGTATTTTGTTAACGTTTCAGGACTGTATTACCAAGATACAGGGGGTCCAAATCAATGGGTAGGTT